ATCGCAGGAATGGATTATTAGATGGAGAGGCCCTCCCTCGTCTTTCGCGTGCTCAAATTCGATGGCCGATCGCTCGGTTCTGACCGAAGAGAAAAAAAACCTTGAAGTGGATGTTTCCCCCATTTCCCCCAGTTTAAAGAGCCATCCCAATAGCGCCTCGCCTCGAAGGGCAGCAGAAGATGCGGGGAGGATGCATCGCGTTGTCGACCCTGTTCTTGGGCTGGCTCGCGAGCGGGTCCGCGTCCGAGGGATGCCGCTTGGAGCTGGCTGACCCGTCTGGATTCATCGCGTCTCCCGGTTACCCTCAGTTCTATCCTCCCGGTTACCCTCAGTTCTATCCTCCCGGTTACCCTCAGTTCTATCCTCCCGATGTCGACTGTCACTGGAGTATCATTGTGAGTACGTGGTATCGGTGTCGAGAGGAGCATTACATTTCTTCTTACCGTTCTGTGGCGCATCTCATTGGCTTCCCTTCAGATTCTCCGATAAATCAAGGGCAAATGAGTCCACAATTGAGTAGTCCAATGTCTATGGCGTGCTTCGAGACCCTCGACAGACCGTCACTTCTGTCGTTGCACATTGCAGAATGAGACGTATGAACCTTTAAGTACCTTATTGCATTTTCAGATTAGTCACGGCTTTTCGAAAAAGTCGTACTTTTCTTTTGCAATGACATTTAAACCCAATTGGCACTAAGAGATTTTTATTTTTATATATTTTAAGATGGATTCATCGCGCTTCACCTAGTATGCCAACGCATAAATTTACCTGCTCATGAATCCAGAACTAAGCCATAGACCATTACCACAATCGTGCTAAAAGTTTCCCAGTGCAGAGATGCTATCACTGTGCAGTCCAGAGTAAGATACATCTGTTGAGGGTCATCTGTGGGTCATTGATTAATTTGAAACAGACAGAAATGTGACCGAACTTGAAGGAGAAAACAATGCAACTTTTTAATTTATTTTTTTTTTAAGGCTCCACCAACTCGGAAGATCAAGTTGTTTTTCAACGATTTCCATCTGGAAAACGTGGAAGACTGCTTCCCGGGAGGACCAGGCGATTACTTGCTGATCACGGACTCCGACGGGGAAACCCACACATTCTGCGGCCAGAATCACCCCTGGGTCTTCGAATCCAAGGGCAACACACTCTACGTCACCTTCGTCTCCGATTCGGACGACCAGCACGGTTTCCGGTTCGGTCTCACTTACGTCAGCGCTTCCCAGTGCGAGGAAGGCTGGGAGGAATTCGGAGAACATTGTTACTTCTTCTCCGACGAGGAACTCATCTTCGACGAAGCCAGCGCGGACTGCCTGGGCAGGAACGCCCAGCTCGCGAGTGTTCACTCTCGCGAGGAACAAGAATTCCTCCAGAGGCATTCCAAGCGGGGGACGCTTTTCATCGGAGCGGTCAACACGGGGGATCTGATGAACGATTCCTTCAGCTTCGAATTTCTCGACGGTTCGCCCAACGATTATCACAACGTGTATGAATTCGACAGGTTCGAGCCTCTCAACTGCGAATCGCGCCCTCTCGACTGCGGGATCGTCCTCGTGCCGCATCGCTGGGCGAATCGCGACTGTTCTGAAACTCGACCGGTGATCTGTCACTCTGTCGAATCTCACGGCGAAGATTGGTACTGCCTAGATGACCTCTGCTTCCACGTCTCGACACGGGCTTTCGTATTCGATGCAGGCAGGTCCTACTGCCAGGAATTCGACGGAGCGGATGTCGTCTCGGTTGGAGGCAGGGAAAGAATGCTAAGTACGATCGCACTTGGCTTCGAAGCCTATTTCCCCCACCCGTTACCGGAATGGAACGAGCACTGGATCGGATTGAGGCGAGGCGTGGGTGGAGACTGGGGGTGGATGGACGGAAACGACTTCACCCTCGACCGGTGGGACGAAGGGTATCCGGCCGAGGGCGGTGGGGACTGTGCGGTCGTCGTCGCTTCTTCCTGGGACGATCTTACAATGAATTGGGCGGGATCCTTCGTCTGCAAGAAGTCTCCCTGAACGTTCTTATATGCGAAAATCCCTACATTCCAATTCTTGAGTGAAATAAAAATTCTACGAAGTAACTATGGGAGACGCCTTTCACTTTTTTTTTTAACAGGGGAAGGAAGGAGAAGGTAGGATTTTTTAAAATGTATATCTCATCGGTTTTCAGCTATCGAATCCCATGATTACCAATTACTGTCTATAGCATGTCAGCCTTGACGTAGTTACCGCAATCAAAAGCATTGCTATATGCTCCGTAAATACCAAGTCGACAAGGAGATGAACGGTTACGGAAGACGTGCACGCACGGCGCCGTGAATCTGATTTTCGGTGGTGTATATCAAAGATAAAACACATTCTTAAGCGTTTTTGGGAAACGTGTTCATCTCGTACTTAATCCGATTCTTCAATCGGATTAGTTTAATCTCGCCCGAAAGCGCCTCTCTTTTATTTACCGAGCTTCATTTGGATGGGTCTCTGATTTGCATTTGGGTTTTCCCGAGTACTTAAACAATTACTTTGTATATCAAGTACTACTTACCCATGTCCTTGTTTGAATTTATTATCATTCAGCACTTGAAGTAAATTGTCAACTAATTATGGCCCGTAAAATATTCACGTTTTCCCAACTGAGACAAATCGAATTCCGTCCCATAGCATACAAAATAACTAATTAGCATCAATTAGCTGCTGGAATGAGAAACTAATTAGCATCAATTGAGGGTGCTTTCCGTCACCATTTCCTTTGTAATGATTTTCAATGAGTTCGGTCTCGTCGCACTCTAGAGGAACACAATATTCGAATTTCGTACAGCTACGCCTTTTGTGGCTCGAAAAAGCGTTTTTCATCGGGTTACCCTCGATTGCCTGAGTGTAAATTTTCTGGGAGCTAAGCTCCTTCGCAAATGCGAATTGTCGCTATCGAGAATAAATGGGGGGATGCGGATCTGCGCGATGAAAGGAGCCTCACGCCCGGTGCGGATCGTGCGTGAGGCTCCTTTCGCAATTTTCAATTTTCCGGTCGGATAAGGGCATAAAGGCCACGAAAAGGCCAAGGCAATTGTCTTAAAGGACTGAGCGGGCAGGAAAAAATTTCGGCAATCACAATAGAAATGCATCAGTAGGGTTGAAACTTTCCGGTTCGACTTTGCCCGATGGCTGTGGATGAACTTCACTGTCCTCGCTGTTCCGCAGCTGGAGGGGCAAAATAGATGAGGCTGGGGGATAATTATAGTAGGCTCGTTTGGAGCTTGGCAAAGGTGGTCTACCAAGGCGAAGGCTGAGACTTCATTATAGACTGATTACTCTTTGGAAATAATTTTTTTTCGTTTGCCGATAATATTACTAAGAGCGTCATCGTCTTCCAAACGACACCCAACATCAGGCGAACGACCCAATTTCAGGTGCATGCGTAATGGCACCATTATGGCACCAGGGTGCCATTATGGGGAAGCGCCACGTCTCTCTTCTCCGCAACACACGTCGTTGACGGGAACGACTCCCATTCGAATGCAAATCACCGCCAGTCTCAGTACAGGGCGATGGGCTCGGAAGCCATTCAGACGAGAAAAAACCCACCACGACGTGTCACAATATGACAACTAGTTTGACCCCTTCCCCCCCCCTCTCCCTTGAGACGATTGAAACCATCAGGTAGACTAAGATTAGGTCGTTTAGACAGTTTTTCGATCTCAAGCTTCTTCTTGCATTATTCTTACAGGGTTGCCTTGGCTCTCGAGTCCGTTTTCTAAGTTTTTTCTGTTACAGCCGTGCGAAAACCCCTGGCTTCCACGAGTGATAGCCATTTTGGCTATCCTTTTTCGGCTTTTGGAAGAGTGCACAAGTGACGTTGAGGGCGGAAAGGTAATCGTGGGGGATGATACGTTCCACTATAATTAAATTACTTGTAATTATTATAATGCCTCCACTTCAACATAACTTGATTAAACGGCCGTGAAATTGAATCGAATTTGCAGCCCTAGCCCGTACTCCAAATCGCCAAAATAAAAAACTTGCAACCCGGGTGAACGCGAGTTCACTTTTGTCGTCATTGCCAGCGACGTAATTGGCCCCTTTCTCCGTCCAGGCAATTCCCTGGCAATTCTCCAGGGAATTTCGCCTGGCATTCGCCTCTAAAACCTGCAACTTGGCAGCTGCAAGCAATTCACGCTCCAAGCTCTCACTTCGCAAGAAAATTGATAATTTTTTCCGTCTGTCTCCCTCTTGCCGGCTCATCGTCGGCGCGCCTTCAATTCCCTTCTGGTTTATTTCCTTTCGCAGCGAATGGAACTGCAACGACATAGGTTGAAATTCCGGTACCGTGTAGAACCAATACCATTCGTCCAGCGGAACAGTTCTCATTCACGAGATTACATTCCTTATCATCTCCGTCCCTGCGGCCATCCTAATCGCACGGATGGAGGATTTTCACAGGGTTTTCCACATAATCTGCCGGTCCCAGTCCACTTCCGAATTGCTTACAAAGCCGAAAGGCCCATAAGGCTCCTCTACCGGGCCTTGATGCCTGCATCAGTCCCAGGTCAAATCCCCCCCCCTTCTCGCTCAAACGTAACCGGTCTTGTCTGATGTGCTGTAGAATTAACTGCGTCCTTTCTGCCACCGCTCTTTTCACCGCGACCGCTCAACCTTAGATTGCGCCTATTACCGTAATGGAAATTTTAGAATCATCCAAACCAATTGTCGACCATTTGGCAACCCCCCCCATCCCAAGAACGGCGCCGAATACGAAGGCCTGCGACCAGACAAACACGTGAATCGAAGGGAGATGGGGGCAGAAGCTCTTCTTTCATATCTTTACATCATCCGTATTTTATCGCCTCTCAGACGAGTACTTCACAAGTTGATGACATTAGCTTCTCACAGCCCAAATTGTCACGCTTATATACAGTACCATCTCTTTCATTCCTGAATAAAAAAATTTCGTTCAGCTGTCACGTGCGCAAGAAAAGACACCCGAGATCATGATAAGATCATTCACTCTGACAAATGATATCACAAAGCAGATAGGGCAGGATCACCATGGGAGGAACCAGGTTCATGCATGTGCTATCTCCCAGAATTCTTGGGAGTCTCAATGACATCCCTGAGCTTCTCGAGGGATTTGGTAAAGTCCTCCAACAGCGAGGCGAGGTGCTTGCGCTTGAAGCGTAAGGATTCACGCTTCACATCCTGAGCAAATTTAACTCGAGTCCCCATGGATCCCTTCACGCTGTAGAGGATTTCAAACAGGGGCTGGAAGTCTGCAAAGGAAACAGGACAGACTCGGTCAAGGTCGGTTGCAGGTTCAAGAAGAAATCAGCCCACAAGCCAATACTGAGAATTAGTAATAATAGCTGCTGAAATTATCTTGATTGCACCAAATGAATATCAGTAGAGCATCAATGAACTACATTGCAGTTCTCATTGAGATCTAGGGCTGTCACAATGCATTGCTGTCACTATTCGATAGTTTAGGGCGTCACAGGTTTAATTAGTCATTGCGGATGGACATGGCCCTCCCTCTCGCTTGGCAACAACCCACCCTAATGGAAAGCAAAAAGGAAAAGCAGGAGGCAATCCTTCTCCACAACATTCAAGGGGGGGGGAGAGTAAATAATATTCTCTGATGTGAATGTTATCGATCATGCGAGGTGATGCATCCATGTTTGATGAACCCATAATTAGGTCCCCAATGGAGATTCCCTCCCAGGTAATGTGACTGGACAAGGAAAAGATTCTAATAAAACTCACTTTTCCCTGGCCTTCTGATGATTTTGAAGGCTTCTTTCCGAAGAGCCATGTTGTGCTTGCAGACTGTTGCCCAGTTCTCCTTCTCCAGCTGGATCCGCCTCCCTTTGGACACCTCGCCGTTTACCAACGCCCCCGTCCCCAAGCGGCTCCCAGCCGAAGATGCATCGACGGCATTGTTCACCGGGGGAACTGGATCGGGTTGGGGTGGAGAATGAGGAGGGGAAGGGGGAGGATTCTCATCCAACTCTTCTTGTTCTTTCTCTTTTTCCTCCCTTATCTCCTTCTCTTCTTCCTTCACTCCAAATCCGACTTCTGTGATCCAGGGGGCCGCTATATGCACAGACGACAAAGGTGTCAATGTGAGACTCTGAATATCAAACTTGTGTGCTTCATGCCTTGCTAATCAATATATTATTGAAGGCTTTGACAGGTTGCACTGAAAAAAACCACAGATGCCATTATGTAAATGATCTATGGGGAATAAGCATGTTGTCACAGACCCACCAGGGTACACAGTATATATTTTTCTGGCATAATTACGAGGTAAGAGAGTGTCATAAATTCAGGATATACTGATATCAAGGAGTAGTTTTGCTGCATCTCTCATGACTAGAGGGTACATGTCATATTTCCTTAACAATCTCACACATCTATCCATGTATGCAAGATGGATTTCTGGCACATGAGTTCATGTCATTATATCTTATTAAGTGATGAGTTGTGTATAAGATTACATTTTCCCCAGAAATTTCTGTGACATCCCATATCTTCAATTCTTCCATAACCTACTCCCCACCCTCCACTTCAAAAGTTTGTTCCCAATAACTCTTCTCCTGCCCACCCATGGTTCTAGGATTTCTTGGACTGCTTCACTATAATCAAAATGTGAGGTCATATTCAATCCTTTTTGGGATTTAAAATTTGGGATTTTGGGCTATTTCTTGGTAGTTTTTTTTAGGTAAGATACATCACTTCTCTGTTTACAACATATTGCCTGCATCACTTTTCTTAAAATCAGGCTTAATTCATCTTTGCACCATTACAGAGTACTGGAATAATTCAGAAGCAAGTAACTCACGAGTTGGGGGAGTTGCAGGTACAAAGAGGGGCAACTCGTTCTTAATCAGTGGCTTCAATTCCTCTTCTTCAGGACTTGGCAGAGGAGAGGGAGGTGTTGGACAGGGGCTGCTAGGTAAGGATGGGATGGGGGAAGGTGATGTGGGCCGATGATAAACCCAATCCTTGGGGAGGGGGCCGGGTTTCCTTTTTGCCATCGGACGAAGAAATCCTTCTAGAGAAGGCAAGGGGGCGGGTCGCTTCAAGGATCCGCCGGGGCGCTTCTCTGCCGATAAGGATGAGGATGTTGGTCCACCAACCAGATCTATATCTGCCTCATCCACCATCATTCTCTGTCAGATAAAATGAAGACATGAGTAGTCACATTCAGGACAGTCAACATCATACACACTCAATGGAAAACATAATATTAGGTTGGCCAAAAAGTTCTGCAACACTTGCGAAAAAGTTGATTTTTATGCGCAAATTTATTTAAAAACAATAACAACTACTCTTCAAAATAAAGGCCATCATTTTCAACAATCTTTTGCCACCGATCTGCAAGCATCCGGATTTGATTGAAGTACCATTCTGCCAGCTTCGAATCGAAGAACTCCTGGCACGCTTCCTCAACTTTATCAAATGACTCAAATTGGTGACCACACCATCTGAAACTTTGAGGATAAAGATGAACACGGAACACGATAAACACAAAAACAAAAAAAATTGTGCATAAAACGCACAAAAAATTAATAAAAATGTGCATAAAAATCAACTTTTTTGCAAGTGTTGCAGAACTTTTTGGCCAACCTAGTATTAATATTATTCTTTAGCACCCCAAAATCATCAAAAGCAATAAAGAGAAACACAGAAGGGTTCCAAAGAGCTGAGTGAAATGCAAAAAGTAGCTGATCAAGTGTCCTGGAAATTCTCTCTATATGGATAATACTGGATGTAAAAGTGGGGCACATCATATGTTGCACAAGACTTACTTTCTGAATTTCAAAGTAAAAGTAAGGGAATGTCCAGGGACAATATTGCCTGTTAATTAGGGGTACCCAGAAAACTAGCAAAATACTTTTAAAATAAAAAAGAGGAGATGTGACTTGAGATGCTTCACATGGATCTGGCATAACAGTCACCTGCTCATTCAGGTACCTAAACTTACCTGCAAGTAAAGGAGTCAGTGCTCAATGAGTACTCTTACACTAGGCCTGATATAAAAAATAAGACACACTCCAAGAACTGCTGAATGATCCAAGTTGGCTTGAGCTTCCTCAAAAGGATATCAGCAAAAGAAGAAGACTCTCAAGACTGTTGCTAGGATATGCAACATTGCAACAATCTGATTGCATTTCCTCAATTCTATGTAATTTCCTGCCTTTGAAATTCTTAAAGAATCAAAAATACAAAATACATTTAAGATATAGTAGCATGGTCACATACCTTGTCAATCTTGAAGGGATTGCCAAACATGTGCTGTCTGGTTGGCGTGGACTCCAATTCCCTCAAGGGTGGGGGCATGCGCTTCAAGTATTCTTGGTAGTTGCCCATTTGCCCCACTGGCATGTTGTGTAGGGCATCTATAAGAAGTAACAGACATGAGTTTATCAATTCTCATGAGGTGGAAGTCTGCAAGTATTTGATCACATTTCAGTAAGACTGGATTTTTCACTTTCCAAATTCCATGAATAAAAAAACCTGTGCTTACTTGATGTACTCAGATTATATTCATGCCAACACAATTGGATTTCCCAAAAAGCAAATTTAATCATTAAGGCTTATGAACATGAAGCAAGATTTCCAAAGCCTCGCCTCTTTCAAGCAGGGGATGGTCTTAGAGATTATGCAGATTAGCACCAGCAGATGGTGCTGCCAACCATTAGAAAGATGAGGCAAGGAATTACCAGAGTCCAATGATGGCATAAATTGGCATATCACGGGGCCCCAATGGCACTATCAAATATATCTTCACTATTTCCTTAAAGTACAGTATTAAAAAAGAATGAAATCCAATAAATGTTCAGAAACCATTTCCTGATGCTCTCCTTTTCCATTCATCACTTTTAATTCAGATGGCATTTATGGATTGATAATGATTTTTAAAAAAATAAGAAAAGAGCTTCAACCCATAAGTAATATTCAAATATGGCATTGTTGACTAACCATCATCAAGGAGCCTGTTGCGAGCAAGAGGTCCTCGCAGAAAATTTGACCTCATTCGGGCCAGTTGGTCGAGAAGGGCATTCCTCGACACATCAAATGGGTTCCTGTAACTCTGAAGATGAACTCGCTCCATCTGCACCACCAGGGTGAAACCTGGCATCTCTGTCACCTGCTCATTCAGGTGGCTAAACTTATCTGCAAGAAAAGGAGTCACTGCTCAATGCTAATTTCCTGCCTTTGAAATTCTTAAAGAATCAAAAATGCAAAGCAGGACTACAACCACCACATGGATATCATGCAAGTGCCAATGACACAGTTAGGCCAATATCCCAAAGAAGAAAAAGTAATTCCTATTTCAATGAAACTTTTAAGTGTTGGAATGGTTGATCTGCATGAGACACACACCAGCAAGGCACGGGTGAGAAAGAAGAGCCTGTTTGAGCGGGGAACGTGGCAGAACCCGAATTGCATCTGGGGCAGAAGGGATGGGACCCGATTTCACTTTGGCTCCAATCTCTGCACACAGCCTCTCGTACTCCACCTTGGCCTGGTTCTTGATCTTCCTTAGGTAATTCCCAACTGTATAGCTTAGTCCAGTATCCAATGTCTCTGGGACCAGATTTGGTGCACCCATCAACTTCAGAGCTCTTCTCAGAGGCTGGAAACAATCACACGCAAACTCATTTTCAATCCACATTTCATTCAACATGAGACTATTAGATTGTTGCAAGGGAAAAGGGAATAATCAATGATCCGTGTTGGGGAAGGGATCATGTGAAAAATAGCCCTTTAGGGCACAGAAATTGTGACATGGTATAACATTACCACATTCTCACAGCTCTGCTCTCCAAATCTTTTACATCACTCTGAAATTCATCTTCAAAGCCATTACTTGAGCAGGCTCATGTGAGGCTCTTCAGATTGAAAGGTCCATTATGTTCTTTGCAGAGATGAAAAAGTACCACTAAACTGGGACTTCTTCAATCAGTGAACATAGAACCAGGACTGTGAACTATCCCAGTTAGAATTAATTCATTCTACAAGTAGAGATAAACTCTACATGACCTAGCTGAACTAGGTCATTTGATAAGGTGGATCTATTTAACATATTTGAACACAGACCAGGATCATCCATCCTGACCCATCAGCAACTAGTATAACTCTCTTGGGAAGTTGGAAACTTACCCCAGCATAGTAAGATGGCATGTTCCTCAGGTAGCTGTCAAACTGGGCCTTCCATTCCTTGGGTGGTTTGAGCCTGTGGATCTTGAAGAGGTCATCCAGGAGGGGGAGGAGGACAGGGTAATTGTATGGCATCACAAATAGGTTCACGCACTGGAGATTAGTCGATGCCTTCAGGTAACCAAATGGGTGGCTCACTTCGGAATTACGGAAGCTGTTGCTTACGTACACCTGTAAGATTAGATAGAAATACAATTCAAGAGAGAGGTTTTTGTATGTTTTAAAACCTGAAAAATTAAAGAAGAATCATGAAAACTTCAGCTGTCAATTACTTAAAAACCCCTATCAATAAGTGAGCATGAAGCACCTAACACAAAAAACAATTGAAACCAATGAGTTTTCTGTGCAGGGCACTCTTGTCCCACTACTCCTAAAAACTTCATGAGTGCATTCAAGGAGGTCCAATGGCTGGAGAACTAAACTCTTACATGAAGATTTCTTCTGATGTGATACAGTCACAACTTCTCAAAAAATTGGTCACTTGGCAGAAGAATAGCAAAAACAAAAGTAACCAGGCAAATATGAAGAAAAGGACCCTTACCTGCCAGCAGCAGTGAGACTGTCGCCTGGCCAGAATGTATTGGGTTAGTGGAGAGGGTTCCAGTTCATACTTGTCAAATGGTAGGTTCTCTATTACCATTGGCTCTACATTGCTGCATGTGAATTTCACATTTGGGTGCGCTGTTCGAGGAGGCTGGAAAAAAGTGAAGTGATGAAATAGACTCCAACACATGGCAAAAAAACAACAAAACAAAGGTAATGAAAGCATAATACTCAAGAGAATCTTGTTTTTTCATGGATAACATTTAAAAAATAACTTCTAATGGATCATGCCATTAAATTCAACATCACTCATATTTATTTTCAGCATGAGAACATGTCATTAACCAATGAGGACCATAGCACTTACAGTGATGTCACCATTACTGAGTTGCTGCTACAAGTTTATATACATTATAAAAGCAGAATTATAGAGATTGATAACTAGCAAATCATAGTTATGAAATATGTTTGTTTATAATGATATAATGCATAAAGAATTCCAGGTGAGGACAAAAACTGCAAGCCAAATTTAATAGAAGGAACTTGGAATCGGATTATCTACTAAATGCAGACTGCATGAGTCAACTAATATTAACACCAAAACTTTTTGAGACAACAAAAACTTGAAGCAAGAAAACAAGCACATTATAAAATAGAGAGGAGACTCACTAGAGAAGGTGCATTAACATCAGGCCAGAAGTTCTCAGGTATGGGCCAGTGCCCAACCATGAGAGTCTTGTTGGGCAAGATCCTAGGCACATAGATGAGTCTCTTGCATGAGTGCCAGGAGACATTGGATGAGCTGAGCACATATGGCATGGGACTGAGTGGACGACTCGCTCCACCGCATCCACTCTTTAATGACTCTAGAACTTCATTGGCAGAGTTGAGCAAGTTTTCCTTGTTTGAGCGAGAGTAGTCACCCTCAAAGACGATGTCTGGAGTCTCCAGCTTGCTCAACCCTGCTCCTGCAATCAAGTATCAAGTAGTAATTGACTGCATGTCTAATACCTAGCATTTCGACACCACACTTAATTTGATATTTTTCTGGAAGGAATGACTAATGAATAGAATATTAACCAGGGCCATCCCTCCCTCATGTTCTTCCTGTGAAATTGATCCAGGGCAAAATTAGCCTCAGTTTATCCCCACATTCATCTACCAACCTTGAGCTTGTTAAGAAAAGCCAAGACAATGAATCACTTCTCAGCTTTAGGAAACTGGGAGAGACTGAATTGCTAACCTCCCTATTTTATCTTTCTCCCTATTTCACCACAATGGTCTTTTTTTAAACTGAATCATTCATGATCATGAAGATAAATATAGCATGTGCCGAAAAAAAATTTTGCTTCACAGGTGCATATTTTTTCCCCACCACACTTTGTTTTTCTTTCTCAAGGCTTCCCTATATTTGATAACGCAAGACATTACACGCATTGGCAGTATGACTTCAATCAGTTGCTTTTCTGAGAAAACTGACAAGTATCAGTACTCAAATGGTACACATTCTGTGCCTCAGTAACACCCTTGAGCAGTTAAATTTAAAGTTGAAAATTAAAGTATTACTATTTTGCCACATTGAGTAAATTGGATAACAGCACCCAACAAATTAGGTGTCAATACTGAAGTTGAGAAAAAGGTAAACATACCATCTTTAGAAGAGAGAGTCTCGGAGGAGGCAGGCCCAGGAGTGACTGGAGGGGGATCAGGTCCTATTTTCTCAAAATGTAACACAACACCACACTGGATCTTCTGCACAAGGCTGTCTATGCACTGGATTAACATCCTCTGGGAGGAGATTGCATATGATCGTCCTGAAAAAATGGCAAAAAGATACATATATATATGAAAAGTAGCATTACATTATAGGATTCAAGAAATAATCTTGGAGGAATCAACCAAAAAGCATCATATATAAAATGTACAAAATATATTTAAAAAAAAAAAAGAAAGAGAAATCTATAGCACATATCTTGTCTGAAGAATGGCAACAAAAATATTTGGTCAGAATCTTGATTACAAACTTAGTGTCTAAACTTGGTGGCTCCACCAACTCAGATATTAAAAAAAAGAAAGAAATCATTATGTTATAATTGTATAGAAATTCCAAAGCCCAAAAACTGTTCCTCTCCAAGGTCAAATGGAACTTGAGATGAGGTTCACTTAATTCAATTCTATGCGAGTTTGACACAACAGATCATCACCATCCATAACCTGTTTGGCAGAAGCTCAAGCAAGCAGTTATTGGCACACCAGTCCTCATGTGTTTCACAACTCTGAAAAAAGAAATTGAGCACAGATGAACCAACCTCCAGTCGCCTCACACATGGCATCAATAGGAGAGTGATCGCTTGGGACGAGAGACAGGGGATCCCTTTCTGCAGGGACAGAGCCAGTGAGACGCAGGACCAACGAGAAGAGTCTCTGGTCCCATCGAAATGGATCCTTGCATAACTCTGAACCTGGGATCATCTGATGACTTGGAAGGAGGAGCTAGATGCAAAAAAAAGGCAGAAAAAGAAGAAACACTTAATAACTTTATAGTAACTGGCAACACATCAACCACATACAAGACTCCATCATTTAACTTTATCATTATCCTGTAAAGGCAAGATATGTGGTTATAAATATTATGTTGATGCAAAATTGGGTAGCACACACAGATACATGAAATACTGGTATTGAAGGTCAAGTAATGATGGTTTGGCTTCTGTTCTTTACCTATGCTCAGGCAAAGAATTTTGCAGATTTGCAAAGGCAAATACATTAATGACCAGATAACTCAACGGCATACAATTTTCGTACCAAATGACATATTTTAACTAAATAAGAAAACATTCATATGATTTCTTGCAATCCAATTATTTGAAAACCACACTTTAAAAATGTTTCAACCTAGAAACCAACCAATCAGATAGCTGTTGGACAAACTTCAATACAGTACACAGCTATTCTGACAAGACTTACAACTGGTTTGCATTGCTGAATTTTCATGACTCCTGTCGATGTCTACAGTATAATTGTACATCTGCTTAATGCATTCTTGATACCATCACTCTCTGTGTCTAATGTTACATCTGTGTCATCTTGTCTTCCAGGTTTTACATTGATCCTGAAAACATGACAATAATAAGCAATGGATAAAGCTTCACTATGTAGAGCCTGAATAAGCAGGAAAGTGTGATCTTAGTGCAATATATGATTTTACTCATATAGTATCACTAAACATCAGGGTCACAAGGATTGGTCACATTTTCTTTTCTTTTAAGGGCAGACCTTTCATTAATCTATAAATTCCATGATGGCAATTTGATTTCAGATCACATAGAAGTAGAACTTCTATGTGACCTGAATCAATATGTGATCATAGAAGAAGAACTTTTCACTAAAGTGCAGCATAAGGGCAGAGGGAAATCATACATTACTGACTGAAACTTAAAACTCACTTCTTCATAAACCAAAGATGCAGAAGAGAGCTTCCCGCCATCAGTGATGCAGAGGATGATGGAGGGTTCCAAGTAGCAGGGGTTCCTCCCCTGGCCGAAAGTGTCTATGCCCGACTGCATGCGGTTGATGTTGAGCAGGTCGAACGTGTTCTTCAGGGCTGCTCCCATGGTCGTCATCCCAACGGCCTGGAGGTTCTTCAACTCGGTCATGAATGTTGTCAGGTTTTCCTTCCAGCCGGCCTGAATGAGATGAAGCAGTTGGAATCATTAGGTCTGGTTGTAATGAAGTCATACATTATATAGCTCATCAGAATCCTTTCCAAATTAAACCTGCAGCACAATGCCAATTCATTATGATGATGGAATGCTTTCAGAACAGAATAAAGAGCAGATGCATGACAGAAATACACAATAAGAGCAGAGAGAGATGACCAATTCATGTGTAAATATCAAGGATGTGAAACCAATGCTAGATGTTAAGAGTTGAAAACATGCACATGAAGAAAAATGAGTAGTTGCTGGCATTTTTCAAGATCAGTGAAAACACCATATATAGGGTGGAGGATTTTATTATTTTAAACACCACACAATCAGGATATTCTGGCTTTTCCCTACCCCTTTGTTCAGCTTTCCAATTGATGGAAAAGTTTCTGATATGCCTCATAATCATTGGAAAGTCATTTTCATCCATACTTCAAATTATCTGCAAGTTTTTATCACTACCAGATGGGGTAGTCTATAATTGTAGGAAAAGATGGAGGTACACAGTGTAGAGGGTGGATCAGAAAGAGATGGGAGACATTATTTCTGTGTTCTCCATTGGGATACAGTACAAGGTCAGGTGAAAAATAAACTCAGTCCATTTTTACATACCTGTAATTTTTAGTGCATCTTTAAAAACAAGAGGGGACATGTCAGAATTCTTCATTCTGAGAATGGGAGCAGATGGAATGCCATTTCTGCCTGTTTCTCATAAATGAATCATTCTCTCTTTTCAAGATAACTGAATGACAGCCGTTAATTCAATTGCAGCTGGGGATCCAATCAATGGTAGTGCTCTGGATACACTTCAGCCTGATACACTCTTCCTTTTTAATAATTGACTGGCACAGACTTTTGCTGAACAGTTGGGTGGAACACACTATCTTCTTAATGCAACCTGAAATGCCCCATAGACAAAATCTAAGTAACTAAAAAAACGCAGCAATTGAGGATCAAGTTTTCTATGTGCACTTATGTGCACTACTAGGTGAGGAAGAATAGCTCAAACTCTTAGCACTCCATTGTCAATCTCAACTGGACAGCGACTAAAGTGAAGGTTTAAGTAAGGATCCACTAGAGTGCATGCACTTGCAGGCAATGAAGCAGGCAATGAAGACTTCTTCATAATAGCATGAAGACGTTGAAATTAGACTAATATCCAACTTGTTTTCATGGTCTGATCTGGCTGGTCTTCTTACACATATTATAATTGGAAATAAGAAAAACATTTCGATGCAGAAAAGTTTAACCAGACAGCACAGGCCTAAGCAAAATGTAATAATATGTTCTCACAGGCCCATGGACATATGGTGTTTGAAGGAATTTTAATATCATCATCTATGAGCCAAGATAACAAGAGCCTAATCCAAGCCTACATGTGGAGCAAAATGAAGGCTAAAAAACATTACTTCTGTTGATTAGACCTACACTGGTAAGAGATTAAGGTCATTCAGAATTCCAGTTCTACATAAAAAGGATTTGAAGGTTAAGATTCATTTACAGTGACTTCAAAATGGCAATTCACTTGTTCTAATATCACCTGAGAAAATGCAATGCATCAACTGTCCTTTATCTCATGATGGAGGAATACAGTTCTTCCAACAGTATGTGGCCCATACAAAACTATAGCAAAAAAAAAACAATTAAATTAGTTATTACAAGACCAAATAGACATGGAGGGGCATTGTTCCCATTGTTTAAAAATTGATGCTCTTCCCTGCTCTTGCTTACATACCTGTCCCAGTAGCAAAGAATGCAGAGCAGCAGATGTTGTAAGTAGGGCCAGGCCATGTTGTAGTCTAGTCTGACACTGATCAATCTAATTTTTTGAAGACAGCTACTCTAGGTGCTGGACATCTGATGGCTGAAAATCACTCATACTGGTAAAAAGCTAGGGATGGGTTATTGACCAGTCAATTAAAAACATGTCAATTGACTGGTCAAATATGGTCAACTATGGTCAATTTTGGTAAATAGGACCAACTTTTATTATTATTATTTTTTTCTTCGTAGTTTTTTTACCATTACTTATGTCATGACTCACAAGTGATAGACTAGGGATGGGAAGTTGACTGGTCAACATGGTCATTTTAGACCATTTGGAGAAAATAATGGTTATGAGCCCAACAAGAGGTTAGGCCTTATGACTATATGATAATAAATGACCATGTTGACCAGTCAACATCTCATTGCTAAGATAAATTTAATGCTCCAACTCATGCAATCTATAGGGTAAACAGCAAGGAATCATGTTTCATAGCTAGATTAATTTAATTTTTTCTAGATTTTTTTAGGCATAAGCATAGGCATAACCCAAGTACTTGTCCCATGATCACAGACTTTGAGAATAATTTTATGCTCTGATGCAGACTATTAGCCAGGACCATGATTGACCTTGCACGAAACTAAAGTTCTAAAGCTGTTACTTATATCTTGAACCTTAACTTTGAAAGTCCTTGAGGCTATAAAACTTTGAACAGTAAGCTATGCCTCCATACACACTCTGCATCACTCAGGTGAAAGGTCATGGTAGTTTGAGCATTTGCTAAAATGTTTTCCTATACAACAGGTGCCACAGTCTAGGTGTTTGACAGGCTGCATGAACAAATATTAAAAATTGAACTGGCTCTTTGGTTTTAGTGCTGGGGGATAAATGACCACAGTTATGAGTTCTATAAAAATATCTTAATTCACTGAATGAAAAAATTAGTGGACAATAATGGTCAATTAACCAGTCAATTGACCGGTCAATTGACTGGCCCATCCCTATAAAAAGCTTAAGACAGCCCCCCAAACCTTGCCTGTATGAAAAGTTCCAATGGTGCTATAGATTCAAGTTGAACATTTTACGATGGAACTGGAGCATTTCATGAATCTCAAAGTTCGAACTAGCATGGCTCTGAAGGATTCTCTGAATCCTGACCTCATTGCATTCAGCCTTCATGAAATGTCAGGTTTTTTGGGAATTCCAACCTTGTTGATGAGAGAGTTCGCTCAGATAACAGTGGCCCTGAGATAAACACTTATTGACCAGCACCTTATCTTATCAGATCCTATCCTACATTTCAAAACAGGCTTATCCCAGGGTGACCTGGAACACACTGGAGGGCAGACCAGCACATCAGAAATAAAAAAAATTCAAGAGCAATAATTGAGACAATCACGATAAATCCTTTATTGTAACTGTCTCAATAATTGCTCTTGATTAGGTAAATTTAAGAAGTTGTCTTTTGGTGTAGCCTTTGACCAAAGTCTACTAGTTATCCACTTAGTGAAGTGTGCAAAAATGAGTCAGGATCAACCTGAATTCATTTCAACCTCTACCATGCTTGAATTCGCCAAAAGAATATGACAGGCATAGGTCTACAGCCTCTCTCTCAAATGTTATTCATATTCCTTGGGTCTTGTGAAGATAAACATTCAAGGGAGAACCAAACATGCAAGATATATAAACAATACTAACCTTGCTCCAGTTTCCCTAACTGTGTGCCTGAGATTGACCCAGGCTATAACTTTGACAATTTGTTCATTAATGGCTAAAAATAATACATTCCGGTATAGCTCGAGCCAGCAAATTCAGTCCATCATGCTCTCCCGTCAAGAATGCCCTCTGCCCTCATAGACTTAGGCTGAGGTCATATGGGTAGGTGAGCCATATCATCTTCAGCTAGATGGGAATACAGGTTGTCTGACTGACTTTTACCTTAAAATTTTAACATTTCTGAATCAGCTGTGGATATTCATGTTTTATTGTGTTTCCATGTCCAAAAATTTGGTATTTTATTTCATTCTCACTTATTACAATTTCAAGTGAATAAGAGCCCATACCTTCATAATTCTGCCATAACACAAACCTTCAGAATGACAGGTTCTTCAGGTCTGTGCGATAATACTGGAGACCAGTTCAATTTTTCAAATAAACATCATCGGATCCTGAATTTCTCATCCTCTTATACGAGGTCGCTCACTGAATCTTTGCCCTAAATAATTTCCATGAAGAAAAAAAAAACGGAATCCAAAGGATGAAAGACGTTGGTACAATTCCTCAGGTCCTGGTCGATCGAGGAATTAAAAATTGAGACCCAGCGAACACCAAGACAATGCCCCTACAGCCCGTGTGCAAACGTACGGCATACGATCCCGCCCCGACAATATTTTTCATTTCGTGTTTTTATGAGAAGGCGAGAAAGTTTCCACGCTATTCCCACATGGTCCTGGGCCACGTTATGGAGAATACGCGCTTGCGCGGGCTTTTTTTTTCCTCCCCCCCCTTCTCAGTGACCCTAGAACTTCCTTCCCATTCTAATCACCACCAATTCAGCGTAGGCCTATAACACCAGACATGAAAACCGCAAAAAGACGGTTGACGAAACCCAGAAGGGCTGGATAGTACTGGCCTAAGAGAAAATTACACGATCTACTCGAGTATGAACCTACGGTATTAACGGAGTCTCTAAACGAAGCGAACGCGAAAATTAAGTTCCTGTCAAAATGACTAAACGAGGCTCGATAGCAGGGCCGTTCCATACCTTGATATGACCTGGAGACTCATCAAAGGTCAGGAGCATGTACCGATCCCCACGGCTCTCCGGTGACCTCTGCCGAATCTAAAAACGAAAGAAAATCGAAATAAAGTCCATGGATCTGACGAGGATAATCGAAAAAGGGTCGGCCGCGACGCTTCTCGGAACGGCCCTACCTTGACAAAGGTCTCCACAGCGTTCTTCGCCACGTCTAATAACGTAGGCCGACCGCCTGCATATGCCCGTTGATTCATGGACCCCGAAGTGTCCACGAGAAACACGATGATGGTCATGTCGCAGAAGGGATTCTCCCCGACGCACTGATGTAAGTGGCTTTGGCCAGAACTAAGCGGTTAAGCTGAAAATCCGGGGAAAAGGAGGGTGGAATAGCTCCGATTCGGCTCCTCGCTGCCCAGGAGAGCAGCCGTTCCTCGACTGATGACGTCAGAGCGTTCGCCATGATGGGACAGAGGACTCCGCGGCCGCGGGATCGCTCCCGCGGGCTGGCGGTTCCGATGGTCCGAGTCCACGCTGTGCGCTCCCGCCGTGGAGGCGGATTCGGTAGGCCCGATCCCGCGTCGACCTCCACTTTAGCGGGACTTGCGGGGAGGATGGCAAGGTGACGGGAGTGCACTCGAGCGGCTTGTGACGAAAGCGGCTTTCATCCTTCCGATTTCCATCTGCAACCCGAAGGACGAACCGAAGTCAGTCCAACGGCTCCGGCCTCTTCCCCTCGACCGGCTGGAATCCCAGACAGACGTGAATCGGCGAAACGAAAAGTGATTCGACCGATTTTCCCCCCCGCATCGGCCACGTGGATCTCAACGAGGACACGCTGCCAGGCAATTGGCACGAGTCACGAAAGGAAAGCGGCGTTATAATTGATCTGGTAGAATCGAGGGGGGCGTTCACCCCACCGCCCATAACGCATAAGTGGAACATACGCATCTATGTCTCCTCCCGCAATTTCCGGATGATTTGGCGAAATCCCCCTGAAAGCTCCTGCAATTTCTTCTCCGGAAGAGGAAGACAGAATCACTATCCCAATTCCTCGAAGTGTCACGGCAAATATAGGGCAAAATCTGTCGGAAGAGTACCTCGAATCGCGACAACACGCGCGACCATTCATCCAATTCATCCAATCGACATCGATCCTAATCTCTCCATTTTCAGCTCCGGAACTTCACGGACTGAATGATTTCCGGGAAGGAAGCAATTTCATCCTCTTCCGGCACGACAGGGAGCGGAGACGCCATGCAATTCTTTTCACGTACCCGCACCGGTACCGTAAAACCCCACGAAAGTACAGACAGCCGCAGATAATGAAGACGGATAAGCTCCACGACGAGAATTATCTCCAAACTCCGGTCGGGGCATTCATCCCTCGCCGGAGCCATCTACCGCCCACCGAGCGAAACGACGGAACCGACCCTCCACGGCGCGCGCCGCCGGCGGTAGAAAAAGGCGGCGGGCGGACGATCGCCATCCAAGGCATCCCCCGCAAGCCGAGAATCTCCCCATCATTAAAAGACGAAAAGGACCCGAAAGCGAGAGGAAGTAAAGAGGCGGCGCATTCAGGCTAGGAGAGGAGCCGAGGTCATTTATTCCCCCTTTCGTTCCTCGAGAAACAGAGGCCCGAGAAAGCCGTTTTGTGAGGGACTACTGAAACTGTCGAAAAAGTACTGACACTTCGGAAAGTACTAACAGTACTTGTGGATCGACCGGCTGCCTAGCAAAAAGAACCGATCTCCTGGTACTTTCAGTACCGACAAGTACCTTCACGGAAGTACGGAACAAATTCGCGCAGGTCCATGCGTCGACTCGCCTCTACACTACCTCTGAGGAAGCACCTCAAAGCACCTCAAAGCACCTCGTAGCACCTGGAAGCACCCCTCGCTTCCTGGCCTGAAAACTTCCTGAGAATAACAGGTGCGTTATCGCGACCTCGATCTCGTTCCACGTTTAGCCGGCCGGTTAAACAGCGAAGTGGATTCCGGCGATCCACTTTTCGAAACGTTCCAAGGCATTTCCTCCGCGCGTATTTACGTTATACATGCACGCAGGAATTCGCAAAGCCAAGTCTGGCTACATCAGACGGCACCAAAAAAAAAAAATGCATCGCAATATTTCATCCAGGCGACAAGCAGAGAGCACAACGGCTGCATTCGCTCGCAAGCGTCACCGCAACACCAAGGACGGGCACGAGGAAAGGCACGAGGAAAATCCCAAGTACGAAGGCAAGAGACTTTTCGGATCCGAGAGGAAGAATGACGCCTGGCAGAAGTATAGGCCTACATCGGAAGAAGTATAGGCCTACAAAAGCGTTCATTACAGGCTCACACAGTCCATTACAGATCTACGATGGGACATCTGTTCCACGTCGATGAGGATCCAACAAAAAAATCCCAAATTGGCCAATATACGAAGCAATTTCAGGCAATCTCCTGCTTGAGCCCACCGGCGCATAAAACAGCGTTTACTGCATTTTTTTCCTCCTTCAGGTCCCACCCCCATTTCCCGCCTTTTCGCGCTGAGATCCATTCGCAGTGTTGCACGAAGGTTCGCCCTGTTTCCCAATACGTTCGACCATTTGAATATTTGAAACTTCTGAGACTCTTCTCCCGTGCTGACAGAATTGATGGAGAGTGTTCAAGGCTCTTCAAACGACGAATTTTGTGGACGCAATCGCATCAGATGAGGGAATGCATGTTTAGGACGTTGTTGTAATGGGCGAAGATGATTAAACGGAGGGTGGGTTAAATGAGAATGCTTAATTAATTCTGACGCACGAAATCATTCCGCTTCCAAAGTTTCTTGCTAATGTCTTGAGGTTCTCGGAAAAATTTCTCCTCGAAACAAATTTTTTCTCCCTTCACCTCCGATCAAAACCAGCTATCTTGAGAATTTCTTCCGACGTATTTTCCAACATTGAGGGACGATTCGCGAGTATGCATGAACTTCTAACTCGGAGAGCCTTGTGAATTAAAATCCACGATTCACATCACCATTCGTTCCCGCTTTCCACACGACCAAGAAGAGCATCGGTCAAGATAAAGTTCTGCAATTCCCCCGGTCACTGTAAACACGGATCACAATACCACTGTGTTTCCGGAACGATCTTAACCCTAGTTAACGTCGGCTCTTTACTTTTGAATGGACGCTCCTGGCGTCTCGGCAAAGTATTACTTCCTACAGAGTTTTTTTGAATAGATTGAAGAATAAATTAATTTCAACGACAACGATCGTATCCCTGAATGCGTTCTGCGTCGAATATGCCCGCGCGTCTCTCCCGCTGCCTTCATTCGTGGTCTGACTCCCAGAGGAGATTCCACTCCTCGTTCGTCTTCCTTCTCGTGCTCTCGCTCGCTTCAACCCCATGAAACCTCTCCCTGTCAAGAAAGATTCAGCGAAGGCCTAAAGGGTCCAAACAAACCAGAGATCTTCGAGAGATTCGGGAATAGTCGCGGCCACAGGCCCTAGAAATTCATAATGATCAACAGATGGCCCACGCGAATCGTGTGAGTGATGAAAATTCCGTGAATTTGAAAGCAAGTGCCTCACGCAGTCATAAAATACACAAACAGTATATCGGCATGAAATATTCTTAAATTCGACTATTCCGGGAACGAGCCAAGTGATTCCGACCATCAGTCGTGTTTCTAACGTTTCGATACGGCGAAAATATTCTCGATCCTGAAGAAGCTCACCGGAAATGATGTGACTGGGCCTTTCGAGGTCGCAAATCAGGCTCTCGACCTGAGACACGAAGGAGATGCAATCAATGTCGCAAAGTTTTGGGTGAGATCCCTGCTTCCGGAACGAACAGGCATTGTTGGACGGTTTGGTTCGAATATTTTTTTCCCCATAAAAAATGCAAAGCGTTTTTTTTTGGAGAGAACGTTTATTAGGATTTTTTTCTCGTATTCTTTCAGACGTATTTGTTACTAGCGAGTTTGAGTTTGTTTGCCCTTCGGGTAAACAAACTCGCTATGCTCGCGCCTTCGGCGCTCCATTACCTTGGATAGTGATTAATTCATTTATTCTTTGCGAAATGGCAAACACGAATTTAAAGTACGTACCCATTGAAATACATGACATATGGGGACGAAAGTCTTCATTTTTATCAAAATCATTACTTTATTATTTCTGGTGTGCCTAACTTGAAATCTTTTCATGTGTCCCTTTTTGTAAGGGTGAAGAATATATTTTGCAATACTTCCGTCCTATATTCTACGCTAATGGGGCATATTTCAAAAGTAGGATTTTTCCTGTACTCAGCCATCAAATAGGTACTTCTGAGGGAATTTTAAATTTTCTGTCTCTGCTTCGTTGGATCAAAAAATAATTCAGGAAAATGGGACTTTAAAAAAAGTGCCCTGATGGGTTTAAACGATTTTTTCTTTCTTCTGAAACGTGGACTCAGAGAACTCCACACCACCCAGTTTCAGCGTTATACGTTTCCCCTTTTTACTGGCGGTAAAAAATATATTTGGAAAAGGGACCCACCAAAAGCTGTGCTCTGAGGAGACGCACAACAAAAATTGAATTTTTCCTTAAATCAACATCACGTCCGTTATGCCTGCGCCAGCTGCTACATTTCTATTTCTGCCCGATTCGCTGGGATATGAAAAGTTCTTTGAAAACGTTACGTCCCCAAGAAATATGCCCCCCCCCCCAAAAAAAATATGTTGGAAATGTGAAATTTGACATTTCAGCTCAGTACGTCAGTAGTCACGATCTTGCCAAGTTTCAGCTTTCCATGTGTCTCCGTTTGAAGCAAAGAGAAGTATTTGAAAATATGTTCCCCGAAAGGTGCGCCTCTATGGCATGCATCACCAAAGTAGAACTTTTCCTGAACTCAGCATGCGAATAGCTACTTATGTCAATCAGCTACTCACGATCGTGTATGTATATAATAACAGTAGATTTTTTCATTTACTCAGCTATCCCTCAGGTACTTCTTTGCCAAGTTTAAACTTTTGAGCGCCCTCCGTTTTGCTGGATCAGAAAATTCGGGAAAATACGGGTTTTGCAAAATATGTGCCCTCAGGCGTTTTAACCGAAAACTGACCACTTTTACCGAAATCGATCCTCAGTGAACTACATGCCCACAAAGTTTCAATCTTATACGTTTGGCATTTCGCTGGTGAAAAACAATGTTTGGAAAAGCCCACCCAACCAAAAGCTATGCCCGGAGGGGATGCACCATGAAAGTTGAATACTCCCTCAACTCAATAATATCATGTCACTTATATGTGTGCCAAGTTTCACATATTTCCATTTCTGTCCAATTCACCACGACCAAATTTTTTTTTTAAGATCGCCCCTCGAAAAAATTCCCCCAGGGGATGTATCAATACTCAACATTTTTCTTTAACTCCTTGTCTCAGTAGTATCATTCATGCAAAGTTCCAGCTTTCCATGCTCATCA